TTTGTTACAGAAAATGCTGCCAGCAGGTCCACTGGCACCCAGCTAATAGTTTTTTTTTCTTTTTGTTTAATCAAAAGAGCCTATTCATAAGCCATGGTCACACCGCCAGAACCACAGATGCTTTAAAAAAATATTGCCCACAGTTGAGAAGGTTTTTTTTTTTTTTTTGGTTCCATCAATGAAGAAAATATTGTGACCTACTTAATTTTGAATCAAAACACTTTCACTGGGGTAACTATCTTTAAATTATTGGGCAGTATGTATTTTCCTTGTACCCTGCTATATATTGTGGCAGAGTGATGTTCTAAAAAGTATCTGCCTGTTCTAAAGACTAAAGTAGGCAGCATTCTGTTGGGATGCTCTAATGTGAACATCCATTTCTAACTACTGGTTGAAACTCTCTAGACCAGGACTCCCTGGTCCAGCAACATCCATGGTCCTTCTGGACCACGGATGTTGCTGGACCAAGGAGTCCTGGTGGAAGTCTAGGAGCTCTGCGGGGCCAGAACCCCAGCCAGGCTGGCTGCAGGAGGACCAGCGGCCAGGAGCCCTGCCATAGGAGTCCAGCTGAGTTGCGGCAGAGTGCCTGGAGCACTGGTGGGGCAGTGGTCAGCTGCAGTGGATGTGACAGGACCAGAGGCTACTATGGCAGGTCAGGGAGCCACAGGTCAGCCACAGCGGGCTCTGGAGCCCTGGTGGCAGGGCTGATGGGCAAGAGCCCGGCATGGCATGGCATGGGGCTGCTGGTAGGGCAGTGGGCTGGTGGCAGTGGGGGAGCTGTCAGGGAGGCTAGCAGCCACCAGGAGGAAGTGGGCTGGGAGGCCAGAACTGACCTCTCCTGGTCCGGCAAAATCCCTCCTTTGGGACTGGGGAGGTCCAACCTTTGCCTTATTCCTCAGGTACACTGCTAAACCAGCCTTGCACTACCGTTAAGGGGAATCAACCAAATTGGTCAGAATGTTTCAGATGAGAGCATGACTCTCTTTTGATCCAATGTTGTTGTATATTTCAGTATAATTTCTATTTGTTTCTTAAATAAACCTAATCTTTCTGCTTGCTTGTTTGAATTGCTGTTCACTGGAAAGACTTCTTCTCATCACTTCTGTTTATTCCGCGTATTAAAAATAACCAGAACTTGGAGGACAAATTTTTATAAACTTTTTGGTCTGATCTTATGACGTTTCTTTTCAATTGTTCATTTCCTGATTTGGCACAATTAACTGATTCTTCAGTGAATGGGTCATGAATAGAAAATTCTTATTTTTGACCTGTGGGAAATATTTTGTGCCAAAATTTACAACTTGAGGTGTAATTTTGCCAAGTTATCTTTTTTGATACCCAAATTAAGTTTTAAAAAATGTTCTTTAACTGTAACATGAAATGACAAGGCATGTCCACATTTGTTTTCATAAACAGTCAAAAGATCCTTACCAAATAAATACGATTAGCTGTGCAGAAGATGACACATTTGTAGAGTAGTCCATAGTGTAATTAGTTCCCCATACAGTAGAACCTAAGTGTTCTGAAAACCAGAGTTATGAACTGACCAGTAATCTGTACACCTAAATGGAACTGGAAGTACACAATCAGGCAATAACACAGGAAAGTGGGGGGAAGGGAAGAGGGGGGAGAGAAAGCAGTTACAGTAGAATACTTTGTTAATGTAAACTACTAAAAAAAAATTAAGGAACAACAGCATTTTTCTTCTGCGTATTAGTGCTTCAAAGCTGTATTAAATCAATAGTCAGTTGTAAATTTTAGAAAGACCAACCATAGCATTTTGTTCAGAGTTACTAACAACTGCTACTCCTGAGATGTTCATAACTAAGGTTCTACTGTAAATATTTCTTGCTAGTTCAGGGATTCTTTTTGTCATCGTACCTATAGATAATGGAATTGTTATACAGTAATTTCCTTTTCTGAAGAATAGTCAAATAAAATCTTGATTGTTTCAGTACCAAAGGTGTTAGTTAATTTTTTGTGAGACTCCCCTATCTTTAGTGTTCAGAAAATCACTTTTAAAAAAAAGCTGGGATGTTTTAAATGAGACATTTTCAGTTCTTGTTACAGCCTTGTAGGCTTTGCATTTTTCTTAAATAATTCAAAGGTTTATTTTTGGAATATGACTGTTCACTATAAAGATCATGCTTCAGTTTCAAAGATCTCCCATTTTTTGCTATCATAATAACTAGACACTAGGGGGTGCCTGTTGTGCCTGAGCAGTGGCTCTTCAGTGTTAATCTGCAGATCTTTTTGTTTGATCTCCAATACTCAAATGGTATTTTTCCTATCCCCTACTGTTCCTCCGTGTTCCTCTTGGAATTCTTAATTTCACCCTTACTTTACATCACTAATGGTTATTGGTTCCTTGTCACTTTTCTGTCCACAAAGAATTATTTGCTTCAGATCCTGCCAGAACTCTTACTTAATTAACCAAAGGTGGAATGACCTGAGACCTTGTTTACATGAGTTTTTTCTCATTAAGATTCTGCATCCATACCGCTTTATCTAAACTGACCCAGGCCTCCCTTGGGAAACATAGTATCCACACAATGCTGTGCTTTTATTAAAATAGGTCCCTCATGTTCTGGGCAGGTGCCCCCTGGCCTGGTGTTTTGCTACCAAGCTCTGTATATTCTGATTTTTCTCTTGAGGCTTTGTAGAGTACCAATTGAAACCTACTCAGATTTGGGTCAGATTCACAAACTCCAGTAAGGCATTCCAGATGTATTGAAAGTCATGTAGGCAGGTATTTTGGATGAGTTGGAAGACAAATGCTAGCATGACTGACACTGCATGGCTACTGAATCAGAAATATTGCCCTCATCTCTGTTCCTGATTCCTCCACTGCTTTGCAACACTTACCCTCTTTGTGCCTCAGTTGTTATAGTGGGTATAAACAGCTCCCTCACAGGTATGTTGTAAGGCCTCAGTGTTTTTAAAGCCTTAGAACGCTCTTGTGTGATATCTATAATTGTCAAATGAAAGGCACTCATGAGCGCAAATTAAAACATAAACTGCTTCCTATGCTCAGTAGGATGATCTTACTGCATTTCTGAGCATGGTGGGGCATAGAAATTAAATTCATTTTTGCCACAAGCCAATATCACTGTGCTCATTCCTGTTTGATGTTTAAACAAGGTTTTTAGTTCTTTGAAAAACTAGATCAGTTTAACTCTTCTCCCCAGATCTATATTAGAATTAGGTTCCTAGCAAAAGTAGTAAAATTCATTACCTCATTAATGTCCAAGTAGGGTTGAGGCAAGACAACTTGGTAGATCTATAAACTGGCCAGTTAAAGAACCTGCCACAAAATAAATAAGCAGCTGAACAATCAACTCAATATATGCCAAAACTCCAGCCTTGTTCGCCCAAATACACCATTACAACTGTGTTGTTGAATGCAAATGATGTAGTTTCGGGCATCCTATTTCAAGTCTGACTCAGTATAACGTATTTAAAAGAACACAGTCAACTAGCTGAATAATGAAATTGATATTATGTGATCATTATTTTGCCCTTTAGTATATCTTATCATAAACGTAGGGTGTATCTAGACTACATCCCTCTGTCGGCAGAGGACTGTAAATGAAGCACTTCGAAAGTGCAAATGAAGCCGGGATTTAAATATCCCGCACTTACTTTGCATAATCACGTAATGGCGCTCTTTCGAAAGATCCTGTAAACCTCATTTTTTGCGAGTGCCCTATTTTCAAAAGAACCACACCTAGACTGCGGTTTTAGTTTCGAAATAGCACTTTTTTGAAAGAGCACCATTACGTGATTATGCAAATGAAATGCGGGATATTTAAATCCCGGCTTCATTTGCACTTTCGAAGTGCTTCATTTACATCCCTCTGCCGATAGAGGGATGTAGTCTAGACGTAGCCCTTAGAGGCAAATTCTCAGGAAAGTGTCTTGATTCTTCCTCTCTCATATTGATGAATATTATATAGTGACTGTATTAAAATCACACTGAATATTTAAGACTGTATCTACAGTCTCTATTCTCTAATGTTATAATTAAAGTGATATAGCAACCCTAGTGTAGTTATAGTAACATAATAGTGCTTTATATCATGGCTGTTCTCATATGGGAAGGGGAATAAATGACACTGATTGAGCCCTTTTATATTAGTATAACTGCATCCACAATGGTGCTTGTACTGGCATACAACTAATTCAGGAGAAAAATCATTCTCCTAACTGATGTGATTATATTGGTCCAAAAACTATATGACCAGGCCTAAGACATTATTTAGGTTTCTTGGACCCATTATCCTATTTTATTGAAGAGAAGAGAATTTTATAATATTTCAGTAAGAAAAGACAAGTGGACTTGTTTCCTTCTGGATCCGTTCTATTCTTTAAGTAGACCTTTCTGAAGAAAAGTTGCATTTCACTAACTGTAGCTCTCTGGACACTTATTTCTATGGTCTATGATTGCACACTTAAAACAGTTAGCTGCATCTTAGTGTTTATATTCTTGCTTACACGAGCACTTACAGCCTTATTTTTTTAATTCTTCCCAAATCCAGTCAACAAGTCTCTCAAAATATCCTGTCCATAACATACAAAGCAGCAAATAATTGTAAGTCATTGGTTTACTTCTTTAGTATATCACACTCTTTTCATACAGCCTACAGTGTACAGTGTGATGTTTCCCTTAGGTCTTGTCCAGGTCTATTTTATGGTATATGTATTGTCCTCTCCCCATCAGTTTCAGACTCTGCAGAATGTAGGCTTTCATTATGGGAGCAGTGGGGAGCTAGCAGCTTGGTAGAGGGTGAATCTTTTATGTCTTCTGAATTTAACTGACACTATCCAATCTCTGGCTGTGCTATGAAAATTGTATTTTTTGATGGTAATAACAAATGTGGATGTAGTGAAGATAGGACTCTACTAGCAGACAAAATTTTTGTATTCCGGTGTAGAC